ACATTATTTGCAAAGACAAATTTTTTAAAATGATTATAATTGATAATAATATTATTCACGAAACAGATTTATTACAATCATGAATAATGAAATTACTAAAAATAGTAAAGATTATCTCTCAAGATTTACGAAAATCACGTGAACCGACTTTATTGAGAGTCATTTATTATTATCTGGCTGGAGGAGTTGTCCGACTTACAGCTTAACAAGAGTTTATATATGTGTCCGACTTATCAAGAAATTTTAAATATAAAAAAAAAGGGCTGGAAATTTTTGTCCGAGTTAGGCCAAATCCGACTTATCGAGTTTACCTATTACTATTACTATGTATTATTAAGACGCAATAGCGAACATTGTGTACTACCGCGATCAAAATTTTAGCAAATCACAGCTGTACTACCAATATCCTCCAATCGGAGTAATTAATTTTTCTCCATCGTTAGCAAGAATCAAGTCTGCCTGCTTTTACAGATTTTTCATGGGATGGCTTCATATGTTATTAGTCTTCCTTGTTTGTTATAAACATGAGAAAAATCAACGAGTTTCTTTGCAGTCTAGTTATTCTTGAATCGTCGTCAATAGTGTTAGGTCTCTAATTTTCTCATCTATTAGAAAGATTCCTTCAACAATAATTACAGGACCAGATTTTGCTGATTATCACCGAAAGAAAACTTGGAAAATTATAAGTAGGGAAAATAAATATCAAGTTAATAAGAGTTTATTATCATATGGATGATGATTTTGTATTACACATTTCTAATTACTATTAATCATACATATATAATACATATATACTTTTTTTTATGACATAGTCCAAAAATCGAAAGTACTTCACAAAGCTCAATTGATAATAATGAAACAAACAGATCCGAAATTACGTCTGGAAGATCGTTAAAAAACGAACAAAGATTGTGGAGGTGAGAAGGTTGTTGACAAAGGAATATATTGAAAGCTGGCAAGTTTATTTAGAAAGTATCACTTTGGGTTAATTAATTAATTTATATTTACTTCTTTGGTTTTACAGGGTTCAACTTCATTTTGATACATTAATTACGCCATTTTGCGTTGATATTAAAATTCTTGCCTATTTGTACTTCTTTCTTAGAGAGTTGTTATCATATTCATCAAACGATGTTTTAACAAGTGGTGGTAGCGTGATCTTGGGTGCTAAAGAAATTGGAGAGTTATCATTTTCATCATCACTATTATTAAATAATGAAGTCATTTCCATACATAATTCAATATCATTATAAATATCTCGTCACACGCAATCTTTAATAAGTAAATTTAATTTTAGTTAATATTTTGTAATTAGATTGAAACTTTAACTTCAGATTTACCTTTTTTCAATTATAGAGCTCAAAATTTTTTATAAGACTACCAATAGAAATTGTTGGTATCATTATAATAATAATCATTATCAAGTAGCCTAATTGGAGAAATATGGCAGATGGTGATAATGCTGTGAATCTAAATTCTTTTGAATTCCTTAAATAGTTTTGGGAGGGAGGGAACCATACTCTAAGCCTAAATCCAAATCTCTACCTAAGTTAAAAGTTTGGGCTACAGCATCATTGGTGGTGTAGATTATTTCACTATAATAGTTTTTCTTTGGATAAATATGATAAAGTTCTTTTAAAAAATTTATATAATAATCATGATACCAATAGAAATAATAGCAGTAATAATAGCAAGAATAATCTATACAAAGGAATGTATCGTTGTCATCATATAATGAGACAAAATTGGCATCATGACTGACATAAACATATTTCTTTTCAAAGACATGGTGACAATGTTCTCAGAAGAAATTGTTTCAGGCGATCAGTTTATAATACCGCTACTGGAAAGTTGATAAATAGATTTGAAGGTCGTGATGTTGGGATCTCAGCATAGCAATAAACCAAAACAGTTTGTTTACGTATCTTGCCATTTTTTTAAAAGTAGTATTTTCTCTAAAATTAGCATGCTAGAATGATGCAGCAATAATACATCAATACGAGTCAATAAAAAAAATAATCAATTATTATTATTGTTGTTGTTATGAATTTTTAATTTATTATTTCTTTAATAAAAAAAATTTATCTTGGCAATAATTATTCAAATGAGAATGTAGATTGAAGAACTACGCAACTTGATATTGGAAGTCAAATATGTTCTAATGCAATTTTAGAAATTAATGGTAATTGTTTTAAATTAAGATCACTTGAAAGTGTGTATATTTAAAAACCACAAATTCCCCATTCTATAAGCAATCCATTATTTGGATATTGTAATTCAGTAATTACACTATAATTACGAATGTCTTTTCATATTTTCAGTAGGAAAGGGCTAAATATTTGACATGCGTTAAAAAAGATCTTGTCAAGTTGGTGATTTGGAATATCATCAGAAAATTTTTATTGGGGCTGCTTCGAAAGAGCCTCTGAAAAATCATCTGCATTAAATCTAAGGCCCCGAACGAACCAACGAAATTCGAATCAATATATATATATATATATAAAACTAACCCGATGAACCATGATTTGATTGCTTCTGATATAAATTTGTTGAAACACGATTTTAAATACAATTTTCTAATGCGGGCCTATACTATTACTAAAAAATTGTACACAGAATAAGTAATAGGTGCTAATGTACGGAATATACATACGGAAAAATGAACTTTACCTTATGCGTACTAGTAATGGTAGGAGCAGGTTCTTCTACGTGTTTTCCGTACGGAAAGCACATTCTTAGAAATACACCATATTTTTAGGTACTAGTGCGGGAAAGTGCGTTTTCTCGTATATGTTCATATTCAATGTATTTTATACATGGGACATAGACTTGTTGAAGTTTGACTGTATTTGACTTGTCCTAGTTATTATTTGTAAAAAATCTAAAAATCCGAATCGTTTTAAAAATCGACTCGGTTCGATTCGTTTGGAGCCTCAATTAAATCCTATGACCAAATCTTTTCTCTTTTAAAAAAGTTGACTAGTTTATATTAACTGATAAGCTGATAAATTTGAAGGCCCAAACAAATTCAACGTAAGGTAAAAGTGGCTTATGATTAAATTGATGTTTAATAAAACAGAACCAAAATTGCAACAGCATTTACCTTATCCAACTAAATGCAAATTGTGAATACAACAAGGTACATGTATTGTGCTGAATCAGAGGCAAAGATTCCAAAGAAATTTAAATGTTGAATAATAATATCAATTAAATAATCAACAAATACTAGTTTAGTAATATAAGATAGTGTGTTAACAATGCTTCTTAAACAATCATTTGAATCATCTGACAACTCATCCAATGCAATGACAACAGGTTTTGCTTCGAAAAAAAGATACTAGTTTTTTATGATGACTCCACTCAACAAAAAATACAAAAAAATGTGACCCTAAACTCCCTAAACAGTTTCGGGAGAGAACCCTAAACTCAAACATAAACCACTATAAACTAGTTTCGGGTAGTTTCGGGTTCATATCAAATATTACGGATCATCACTCTGATATGTGACAATTATTAGCTGGTAAATGGCCAATAAGTAAAAACAAGATTTAAATGTCCATGTTGTGAGTCAAAATCAAGTCGTGTGAATTTAAAATTAATAATTATAATTAAAATTTTAGGGTAAGGCCGAGATACCGAATGGCAAATTTAAAGTTCACACGAATTCACAAATTTCAAAATTGATCATCTACTACTATTACCATGCATGGCTTCTATTCGAATAAGGTTTCGAATTATTCGTAATTAACTTTAAGTATTGAACGATTATTCGAATGAATAATTTGAATAATTGATAATCTTGTTATTAAAAAAAAAAAAATAATACTTGTGCGTCAAAAGAAATGAAGTTAGCCGATATTTACAAATTTTTTTTTTTTCAACATACGACAGGAAATTGATTGATTATCATTGTTTCCAGCAAGAGGCTTTTTTCTGGTACAAGGAACCAAATAACTTTAAAGGATAAAGGTTTTTCATTTTTATTTTTTGAACTGAGTGTATTATGAACAGGGTGTGAAATACTATTTAGAAAAAAAAAAAACAGGAAATTTTAAAGTATTTGATAAGGTTGGGGAATCGGGCATTACATAATTCGAAGTTGTGACCATACTTCGCATAATAAATTGAGCCGGTTCAAACTGGTTTTTGATCATGTGACTCGTAATGTTAAACCAGCCATCTCTCGCTACCAACTTTTCAGGAAACTGACGATTATGTGTTTTACCAATTGAATTCCCTGCAGCAGAGAATGCTTGCTTCGCTAGTGACTTAAATAGAAGCCTTGTGCCCACCATAAAAATGGATCTAATTAAAATATATATATGTATTATTAATTAAAAATAATAATAAAATCTGGGCCGGATCCAACATCTGGAACCGCGTACCTTTAAAACGGCACAAAAACCCGGACCGAACCGGTTTTATGACAAACTGACACATACTAGTGTTATCGATCAAAAATATCCGATTTTGGGGAATTGAAACAAAATTCTTTGTAAAAAATGTATGTATATATTATCTTTATTGAAAAAACAGGCTATTGATTTAATTAATTACAGATGATGATTGTTGCTTGTATTCATTATATGTAAATTAATTAATTCGTATACTACTGCTGGTTCGGTTTGATGATGTATAAATAAATAAATATTTATATAAAAAATTTTGCACACGTGTAACATGCATGTGCGTTAACAAGTTTTCATAGCATCATTTTACATCCAAGTTGGAACTTTTGAAACAAAAAGGTATTAAATTAGAGAAAGTTTAGGTATTACGAAATTATTGCATGATAATAATTTATCCTGTTCTTTTAATACTAATGAACTTAATTATTTGGCTTTATTTATTATTATTACGAAATGGGTTGGTTGCACGATTTTATAATAAAATTTATTTTTATGGAGCCATGTATGGAATGATTTCTAGTGTTCCATATATAGTGAGTGACTACTGCAAATTATTGTAATTCGCAGAGGTCTATCTTTATTGTTAACATAACTGATTTAACTACTCTTTCAGCTGCAGTATGTTTCTATCAGTTTTACATGGTTCTTTAAATATATTTTTAAACAAATACATATATAAACTTTTACCTGACTGTCTTGTAGATGTATTCAAATTCACTTGGAGCTGTCTGAACCTTCCATATAACTCCAAGTCCACAAGTTGAACCAATTCAAATTTTTGACTCCAAAAAGACCTGACCAATCAAATTTAAACCTTGATATCTATTTTTTTTTTTCATATTTGCAATAATAATAAATTAATTTGTTTTACATAACAAATGACAATAACAATAGTGCTTTATCTCATTCATTTCAAAAAAATATATAATCTTATTATTAATGATATTAATAATAACGAAATTGAGAAATACCAACTAATCTTTGTGTAGTGAAACTCACCAGAAATAACTCTCAGTATTAGCAAAATAGCCACAGATTATTTTTTATTTATCTATTAAAGCTACAAGTCTAGCCTGTGAACAATTCTTTTTAGTAGCACGAAATACAATCCAGAAACTGCTCGTTCGTGCAATACTTTATGGTAAAAGTTAGATTGAAAATGATATTGTTGATAATAATAAAATTAATTTTTTGATGTATATAATATAAATAAATAATCTTGTTTTGTATCAAAAAATCAAATAAATAAATATAGATAATTTTTCCAATTAATTTCTTTCTATTTTTTTTTAACCTTAAAAAAATAAATTTTCTCTTTTTCCATATTTGCTTTAAACTATATATATATATATATATATACCATTAATTATAATATTACCTTTATAATGGCTCAAAGTCGCACAATATCAAAATTAAGCAAAGTCATAATAATGTCAATCATCTTTAAAATTCATTGACTCGTTAGAGCAAAAGACTCACTGTAGCTTTTACTCTACAATAATAAAACAGAGGGGGGTTTTTGGTCAATAAAAAAAAAAGCTATAAATTTTTAAAGTTGTGCGATTTTATATATTATTATATAAAAACCGCCCATATTTCCATAATGTAATGAATGAATGTCGGTTAAATAGACATGTCGATCTGCTGTCATAAGACCCCAATATGTTACGCGAATTTATAATAATAATATTTTTACACATTCGAGACATCTTTTTTTTTTTTTTTTTTTTGTAAAAAAGAAAATACCAACAAATCCGATAGGATAGTGACACTGTGATTGATTTCCCGCTATGATGAGATTTTTTATATTGTTATTATATGTTTTATACAGAAACATTGTTACCCTACACAAATAATAAGGATATTTTATTAATAAGTTCGCTATGACGAACAAAATCCATTATATGGTGAACTGGGTCATAAATAAAAGACCATTTCCAGTGTAATAAGATTCGCTGTAACGAGCTTTGACTGTATAATAAATAATCTCGGATTTTTACACAAACCAAATTAATATGCCGTATATATGTATATAAAGAATTATTTATATGGAATTCCTTATGTAATTTATTACACAGAAGATAAAATTGACAAGATGTGATAATATAATAATAAAAATATAATAAGAATAAAGAATAAAGAATAAGAATAAGAATAGGGGCGTGTTTGTTCTATTTGGTTCCAAATGAACAACTAATTTACCGGTTAAAATCTAACATCACCACGATTATCATCAATAATCAATTATTTGAAATTGAAGTACGCCGCCTATTGTATAAGCCAGTCATACGTGATTGTTTTATCTCTTATTGTAATTACTCATTAGCATTCTTATTATTTAATCAATTTGGCAATATTTACCTAAAAATATCCAACCCTAATAACCCATGATAATTAGAACGAATTGAATTGAATTAGATTGGATTGGGTTGGACTTAATTGAATTGGTTAAATAAAAAAACAAAACGCCAAATTTCTTTTACTTGATTATCAACTTGGAAATAAAAAAATTATTATTATACATCTCGATTATGCCAATAGATCTAGAATTTCGTCTTTAAATAGTTAAATGATAAAAATTACTCATTCACAAAAATTTAAAAGTTTCAATGTATAATTTATAATCTACATCAAGGCTTTTGTTTACAAAAATGTACTGAACTAAACCAAAATTTACTGAATATTTTCAATCAACTCGATAAAATTTGTCATAGATGCACAACAAAATTCGTTAATTTCAATGAATTAATTTATATTTATACGTAAAAAAAAAGATCTACGAAAACACTGTTTCTTTTTATATATTTAATTGTAAATTTATGCATATATGCAATAAATCAAAAAAAAAAAAAAAAAATCCAATTATCTCAATTAATTTACTTAATTCGATTAGATTTTTATAAATACTAATATAATTGCAAAAAAATAAATAATATGTAGACGTTGCACGAGAACGATCTAGATAAAAAAATTGTTATATTACTGTTTACTATTACTCAACCTTTTACGCGTACAATTTAATTACACGTACATATGTATAGGAGTGTAACAAATATTTTATTTTATTATAATTTATTTTTTGTAAAGCATAATTACATTATTAACGATTAGTTATTATAAAATACACGTGACATACTTTAAATTTTCATCATCACAACTTTGTAATAAATAGATGTCTTTTTATTTTCTTAGATTCTTATGTTTTGTATATGCTGTATGTATACAAGTGAGTTTATAATCATATATATAATCTTGTTGCATCTTATAATAATAATTTAAGCAAATGATTGATGGTGAAGGAAGGATATATATATAATACAATAGGAAATTTCTAATAAGAAATCTCACTTGCTTAAAGCCTTAATAACAACAAAAACAATCCTTTTCTTCTCCTACATATATGAATGAGGGGGTGGTGATAAAGAATGTGGCTGAGGAAGTTGATGAGGGGGTGGAGGTGGACTGTGATATTGTATGTTGTTATTATTGTTATCACCAACATAAATGTGATGATTAGTTGCTCGATGAAGTGATGGCGGCGGTGGCGGTTGTGAATATTGATGATGATGGTTAAAATGTGATTGTTGTTGTTGTTGTTGCTGTTGTTGCTGTTGTTGTTGTTGCTGTTGTTGCTGTTGTTGTTGTAATTGCTGCTGCTGTTGTTGTTGTTGTAATTGCTGCTGCTGCTGCTGCCGTTTTCTTGTCAATTTGGCAAAATCTAATATCATTGTTTAAATAAATTATTTAAATATTAAATCATAATTAAATAAAAAAATAAAAAAATAAAAAAAAAAACTCACGCAATCCACAGGCATTACACAAAGTTCTTGCTCCATCAGGACCCCTACGCCATTCCGGCGTTTCAGAGATATTGCACGAATGACATCTACCAGGAGGAGCAGCACGTTTCTAAATGATTATAATGTTAATTATTAAATATTATTATTATTATAAATGAAGAAAAAAATTTATAATTGGTAAAATGAATGTACATTTCTTTTTCGATATTTTGTACGTGCCGCAGAAGAACCGGTTGTGGTTCTTTTTTTCCTGATCATGTTTATCGTCTCCTGATCAGACTTTTGTAATTAATAATTATAATAAAGTATTCCATTAATTTATTAATTCATTGATTATTTTTCATAATATTCATAATAATGGTTTTTACATACCGATATAATCGGTTTTTGTAGATAGTGCTTAACCCTATTTAGGATATTCAGCATATCATATGTCTTATTCACCATCTCGACCAGCTGCTGTTCGCTGTTCAGCGGAATATCGTTAGAAGCGGTCGAAGTTGCTGTCGTTGGCGATGATGTCGTCCAAGAAAATTGTTCAAGTTTTACGGTTTTTTTATCTCCATCAGCGATAGCACCAGGGCCATCATCGTGGAATTTTTTATTTCGACAGAATTCCACAAATAGGCTTGCATGTTGGCCAATAAAGTGACAATGTTCCGTCACCTATGTTTATTTATTTATTTATTTATTTATTTGGATTTCTAATGATAAAAGTTTTACGAAAAAATTTTTTGTTACCTTATTCATGTCTATCGCAAACTTTTGAGGATCAGGTATAACAGCCATCGGTTGGGTATTACAACCAATATTATTATTATCATCATTATTATTGTTCTGGCAATCCGATGAATAATTGCTCGTAACAAATCGGACAGGAATTATTTTTTGTTGTTGTGTTTGTTGTGTCGATGAAGTTGACGATATTTTTATATCCGAGTTTTGATGATATTCTGCAAATCCATTATTGCCATTAATGCTGCTACAGCTGCTATTAGCTGATCGCGATGAGGAATGTCGTCGATAAGGTTTATTTTGATTGGTTGATGACCAATCAGAAGGAGGATGAGGATCTGAAATTGGTAATTCCAAATTTTTTATTTTTTTTGATTTTATTGGTGGAGAATTTTGGAATTGAAGTGGAGGGGATCGTTGTAAATGATGATTATTGTGGATATTGTAATTGTCATCAATATCATCTATGCATTTTATCGATGGCAAACGGATTCCTTCATGCCAAAAAAAAAAAAGGAAAGAAAAGTTAAAATTTTAAAAAATCTCTAATTATTTTCGTGTAAATATTTATTAAATATCACATTACCATCTTTAATAATGTTGCTATTATTATCAATGGGATTGTTGTTGTGACAAGTTTGCGAATTTCGCAATAGTGTTGATAAAGAAGGCAAACTTCCAATAGCAGAAGCAGTAGAAGATGATGACGAAGATGAGTCTATTAATGTTCTATGATGATGTGACATGATGTATTTTTCCAACAAGAGTTTTTTTTTTTGAATTTATATTTCTTATAAAAAAGCCCAGATGATCTACAAATTCATCTATTATTAAAAAATTTAAAAAAGATTTACGAGAAATTTAAAAAAAAAAATTTATAAAAAAATGTTTTATAAAAAAATTTTCAAAAAAGGTTTTCAGATAAAATCATCGAACATACAAAATAACGAAAATCTTTTGTTTATATAGCTATCTCAAAATAATCGAAAAAAGTAAAGCTATCACATTTGAAATGCTTAAAACAAAAACAACGGAACACACGCACATTATTAGTTTATTTATTTGTTTGTTCGAATTTAGGTCATGCGCCAAGGCTCGATTTTTTTGTTGTATTCTGCAGAATCAATATACTTTAATGTATATATATATATATATATATACATATATGTCTTTAATAAACAAATCACATGGTATTACATATATAAATGGCACTTTTTGATGAATATAATTACTTTTTTTCCTTATCAAACTGGTGTTCTTTTTTTGAATTAAAGTATTTAGAAATAGGCAGCGAAGATGATTATGATTATTAAAAGAATTAATGGACTAATGAATGAATTCCAGTCGACTGAAGAATAGGATTAGAGAAGTGAAATTGTAATAGACAAGTATAAATAGAATGGTGCGGAGTAGATAAAGAAGCCGAAGTAACATGTAACGAAACCATGGATTAACTTGTTGACTAACTAGTTAATTATTAATTAGTAACTTTTTGATGTTTTTCCGCAATAACAAGTTATAATTTATTTACTATTATCTCACTATATTACATTTGATTTAATTTGCAATTAAAGTAACAAAGAAAAAAATATTCGATTTATTTATCAATTAAACACAAAATGCAATTATATGATTAATTCAAAAAATAATCTTATACTATTACTAATTATAACATTTTTTTTGAATCTAGATAAATCAACAAAAAATCAAATTGGTTATTTTCATTATAAATAAATAATAATAATATTGATGCATTATGATTCAATCTTTTTTTTACGCCCAACGGTAACTTGCAGTTGAGGAAAGGTATTATTATCATTGTACACGAAAGAATTATATTTGATGGGAGAAATAAAAAATATATAACAAACGCGCGTTGTAATAGTTGTATATTTTTTATGTTGTACAAATTTATAATACTCAAAAACTATAACGACGATTTTTATTTATTGAGTTGTGTGTTATTATTATCATTAAATGACTAAAACGATTATTATTATTTATTATTTGTTTTGTTGTTGTTGCTGTTGTGCATTAAGAATTTTTTTCTTGTTAAAAGGGAAAATTGATTAAAATTGCAAAAAAAAAAAAAGCAATTAGCATTTTATGTAACAATTATTTATTAATTTTTGAAATTAATTATTATGCTAATTAATTTACAAATTTTATTTAGTAGACTGTTTAATTATTTATTGATTATTTATTTTATCAAATTCAATTCTGCATACATTATAAATACACACAAATTAAAGTTGATTTTTTGTACTATGGAATTCTATTCTAGTATCAGGATCTGGACCAAAAAAAAGAAAATTTTTGTAAACAAAAAACATACGTCTTGCCTAATCATTTAACGCATTCATTCATTTTATAAATTAGTCAATGAGCATTATCAAAATGTTATTTTATTGTGTAGCGTAAAAACTAATTTCTTGAAAAAAAAAGAGATTTTCAATGCATATAAAAACAAAATTATGATCTAGACAAGAACACGAAATCAGTATTTTGATCTCACAGGAACCATCACCACTACAATTTTCTTTAAATTCCGTGTGTATTCGTATGTCCATATGATGATAAATAAATAAATTTTAGGGTTCAAACTTTTGATTTAAGAAAAATAAATTGACTTTATGGTGGGAAATTAATTTCACTAAAAAAAAATTAATAAAACGTTAGTTCACTTAACCAACATCTAGACCAAGTTTACACTATGTTTATCAAGTAGATAGATTATTGGTAAATCTTGAAATTTGCTAGAGGGAACAAAGTATGTCTATAATTTTGACTTGTGTCCACTTTTACACATTAGGTCGTATATTCCACACACATAAACACACACTCGATCGTGTCCATTGTGATTATGTAGATCTGTTATTTAGCAAACTTTAGTTAGCATATATGTGTATATATTATGCCATAAATAAACAAGTTTTTAAAAATTAAGCAGTTTATAAAAGCAGTATATTTATTTACTTCTATTTAAATTTGACGTAATTAGTGCATGTGACATAATCGGATAATAAATTAAATTTTAAATTTTAAATTTTTTGCCAGATATTATAAAATTATTATATTCCAGAAAATAGGTGTTTAAAGAATGGGGGTTGGTCTCTTAATCACGTATTTTCTAGGCCTTCCTAAAGTAGTTTGGCGTACATACTTGTATCCGTTCTTTTTCCCGTAGATTTCCGATTATATACAGAACAAGATTTTTTAAACGAATATACTATAATAATTGAATAAGACGATGATATGAAAAGTCAATTAGGAAAACAATGAGGAAAAGGAAGAAAAAAACTTAGTAAACGATTAAAAAATAACTATTGTTACTATTTCTTTGTAGAAAATGTATGACGATTTTTTAGTAAATTATCAGATGTAGATAAAGGCGGGAAATCTATATAAATTTTTTAACCAAAAAAATTTATCTTATTTTGATTATATAATTGGTTTTATTTATTTTATTTAAATTACCAAAATAATCAATAACAATATGAACCAATAAATAAACTATGTAAACTCACAATCTTGATAAGAAATTATTATTTATTTATTTATTATTTGCTGTTGTTCAATAGAAAAAATAAAGACAATCATTTAGTAATATATGTAAATAAATAATAAATACATATTTATTTTATTTATTTATTTATTTATTTATTTATACGAATAATTAATTAATTACTCCATCAGGATGTTTTCACTATCATATCATTTTAGTCGCTGCCGTTAATCACTAACAATCATCGACTTTGCAAATAACAATTCTTCTACATAGATTTTTCTTTTACAAAATTATAAGTCACTCACTATGAAATCTCATTTACATGTATGTAGAATTACAATGACGATAGCACGCTATTTGCATGTTTGAATTATTCTAGTAGTTGTCAACATGTTTCCTTTTTTTCAAATCTCAAAAAATCTAGGGATTTCCAAATATATTATATCCTGATACAGACATATATGGTTATATTTATCGTAAGATTAATTTACTGTGTATTTGATATTCTTTTTATATATTAATAATAATAAATAATTTTTATTTGGGTTAATGCTGGCAATTTCTTTAAAGAGTAGAAAAGAATGAGATGTATTTCTTGAATAAATAAATTAATTAACAAAGAAAAATCGGATTTATTAATTTCTTGCATAAAATAATATATTCTTTACAATAATTATACTAAAAAAGCAAAAGTATACGTAATGTTAGATAGCGATTTTTTAGTTATATCTTTTTTAAGTTATATTACAAACAGTATCTTCGATATCTTTTTTATTTATTTATTTCCTTATCTCTTATAAATATAGTAAAGGTAATTTTTTTTTTTTAATATTTATTTACGCGCCATAAATGTTCGATCAATAATACATACAGTACAGCCAGCAGCATAGGGGACCTTCCGATTTTGTCACATCAACTGCCGATCTTTTTTATATTGTTTTTATAATAATAATAGATGTATAACGCGCATCATAAGATTATGCTTAAGGTTGTAGCAGCTACAGTAAAAAGTGTTCAAAAGTCAGAATTGTCAGAATTTCAAATTCTTAGAATGAAAAGAAAAAGGAAGCATTTTTTCATGCCAATTCTGTAATCATTATACATACATGTAAACTTGGCAACAATAACTCGGTTTTGGCTTAACTCGACAAAATTCTTTACCTTTTAATAATTTTGATAAGTATATAATAAACACCCACTTGGCGTGTGTATAATTAATTATATTAATCACGATAAATTAGTTTCACGTGATACTTTACTCACATGACTAAGTTCTTGAATTTTGTTTGGTGGTTATAAAATTCCGGACATTCTGATAAAACTTTAGAATGTCCATTTTCCAGTTGCACGTGTATAAAATTTTGCTTATTAGAGTTTCTAATACAATTTCTTATTCGGACCATTTATTATCATTCATTTTTATCCGAATTATTTATTTTATTTGAATTATTCATTTTATAGTTTTATTCAAATTATTCGCTTTGTACGTTCTATTCGTTTAAGGATACTGGCTGCAACTTTTGATGATGCTCTATAAAAAAATTTGCATACGGAAATTCCGTATGAATTATAATTTTTATGGTAATGAAAAAACAATTTCATGTAAAACGGTCAAATATAAAAAATACAATATTTTTTGCTTGATTTTTGTTAAAGTTGAATCATCTAAGAATATAAGATCAGCGGTACGCAGTAAATGTATAAATAATTAAATATCTTCGCCACATATTTATTCACCAACTCCAAGTTATCATCCTTAATACAGTGTGTAATGTAATAAGCCATCAAATCTACAAGTGGATTTTTTCAATTGAAGATAAATCTTTCTATTAGAAACACATTATACAATTAGAATAATAAATAACATTATGTTGTACGATTATAATTTATACCACTATCATACATTTCTTTGTCCACTTTGAAGAAAGTTAAAATAGCTGTTTTCCGCTTTTGATGATTCCTAGAAAGTTAATCCAATTATCTAAACGATACTACAGTACATAACAGGAGAGAACACAAAAATTAACAGGAGGGAACACAAAATTTTAACCCATGCTATTTGTTGATTGACCAATTAAAATCGCGAAT